AGCGGCCCAGACCCTCCATGGGCGATCGGCTCCCTACACGCCGGGCCACGGGCGCTGCGGAGAGAGAGAAGGCGCAGTGTGAGCTCCCGGAGGGCCGAGGGGGCTCAGACTTGAAGCTCGCCCTGCGTCCTGAAGGCGGGAGCCCAGGGTCCCCCACCGTGAGGACCCCCAACAAGGCGCCCCAAGAAAACCCCCAGGCAGCAGCTTGGCCCGGGGAAGGGTCCTCGAGAAGAGGGCTGAACGACTAACTGCCCCTTCGAGGCTCATCCCTGAGGCCGCAGCCGCCTCCCTCCATACCGCCTTTCTGCTCCTCTCTCGGCCTTCTCGCGAATGCTCCCCAAGTTCGAGTTTCCGACTCTGGTTGGGGGTGTGCGTGTGAGGGGTGCCAGTTCGAGGCCTAGATCTCCCCCACGGCCAGGTGGGCCAGGAAAACAGAGGAGGCGCCGAGGTTCTGGGCCTCAGCGAGTCCTCTCAGAGGTGACCTGGCCCCCAGTCCCCCATCTCCCCCACCCCTAGGAGAGAACAAAAGGAGAGAGACCTGGAGCGAAATCCGGAGGTGGACGACCGCGCGTGGACGTTCTGGCCACGGTCACTGCCACTGCGGAACGCGGGGCGCCGTCCCGGGGCAGGGAGTCCCCAGGCCTGGCCGCCAGGAGAAGGCGGGGCGGCGGTACAGGCTTGCACGTGGAAGCCGAGCCCCGCGCAGCCCGCGCACTGGCCGCTTCCTGGCAGCCGGACCCAGCTTCCACCTTGGAAACTGCCTTCGGACGTGGAGTTACAACTCCGAGGGGCGGGCCGGGGCGGGGCTCCGGGGGCGGGCCCGGGGGGCCGGTGAGCCAACGGGTGCTAGCCGAAGCAGTCGGGTGGGACCTGCGAGTCGGCTGAGCTGGGGCTTCCACCGAGGCGGGACGGGGTCGGGGCAGAGGCCAAGGGCAGGTCAGGGGCCCAGCAGGGGACCAGCTGCGGCTCCCCTGGCCGGCGCCAGCCTGGCCTCGGGAGGCAGGGGGAGGGGTGGGGACCAGAGCCCAGCCCCTCTGCCGCGGAAGCTGCCTCCAACCCAACTCACTAGGTGATACTGGACCATCTTCTCCCCTTCCTGGATCTCAGTGGCCGCATCTCTATAATGGGCTCATAGCTACCAGCTTGGGCAAACATGGGATGCCACCGAAATCACGGAGGGGAGGAGGAAGCAGGACCAGAAACTAGTGCAGCTTTGTCCCAGAGCTCTGCTGCAGGGCAAGGCAGGCAGGGGCAGCTCCTGAATACCTCCCAACCCCAGCCTGCTTCACTCGCACAGGACAGGCCAAAAGCATCCAGGAGCCCTGAGTTCCCAGCCCTAAACTGGGGCATTCTGGTCTTATCACATTACTGATCCTAAGAGTCACCCCTGTCTCCCCACTCTGCCTCCTTCCCTTAACCCCGCTTCGGCTGATCAAAGTGGAGAGAAGTAGTTTCTACCTAAATATCTCTCACATCCACGCCTCTCTCTCCTGTCCCCTGCCCTAGCCAAGGGCTCAAATTCATCAGCTTTAGGCCAGGTCACTGTCATGTCTTGCACAACAGTCTCCCTGCCTCTGGGCCTGCAACGACCTGCCCTCCACCCTGCCCTGCCCAGCCCTGCCCAATGTCAGAATGCCATCCACTCAACCAAGGCTGGCGGCCTCCATCCTTTCCTCTATGGGCACAACAGGAGGGACAGATCCACAGGCAGCAAGAGCACTGGACAAGGTCTCAGGTGTGGTGAGCACTGAGGCAGGAGACCAGGGTCAGGGGGAGGTGTCCACAATGCTGATCTGGCTAAAAGTCCCTTCTCTGCTTAAAGCCCAACAAAAGCAAATAACAGTGTTGAAGGAAAATGTACAATAGATAAGATAAAGCTCATACCCAACCAAAAGGTTAAGACCCCTGTAGATAAATGGGCAAAGAACCTGAAAACACTGCATACTGCAGGAAGGAGGGAATGTGGTGGCCTAACAAATATTTGGGGGAAGGTTCAACTTCAGGCGTAGAAGGAAAGCAACTCCAATAAACAAGTAACAACGACCAAGGAGGTAACACTTCCCACCTACCGCGTTAGAAATGTTCTCATTTTTGAGAACACGCAGTGCTGGCAAGATTGCTGTGAAATCAGCGTGCTGTTCAACTGTTGCAGGGTTATATATTGGTACGGCCCTTTTGGAAATTAATCTGGCAATATCAAGAGCTAGGAAAGAATCCCAACCCTCTGACCACTTTTGGGAATCTAAGGAACTAAAGTAAAAGAAAGCAAAGTTATGCATACAAAGATGGGCACCGCAAAACATTTTTCTAACGAGTGGAAAATGCAAAGCAAACTATGAGTCCAAAGACTCCTCTCAGGAGCCATGGAGTTGGAGGAGAAAATGTCTGAAGTCATGGTTAGGTAAGAGGGCAGGTGATGGAAAGCCAGGTGGGTCACCTCTAAGGGGCTTCCAGTTTGCCCCTCTTCCTCCCTTTCGGGCAGTGGGCTGCTAACTGGGGACTCCCAGGACCCTGGCACTGGGCTGCTGTCTGGCCACACCCCCATGTCCCTGTCTCTAACATGAGTCCTAATTCCTGCATCTAAGGACCTTGGGCAACTGGACTGTGTCCTTCCTTCTCTTGCCCAGTGGACATGGGCCCCAGCCCAGGCCTCCCTCCTATGCCCCCTGCCCAGATTCTGAGATTCTGCTCATTCTTCAGGCCCTCTCCTCTAGGCAGCCTTCCCAACTCAGAGCCAGTAGTCTCCCTCCTCTGTGCTCCCTAGTGTGGTCACTTTCCCCCTTTCTCAGTGTGTTCCTGGGGCAGGGACTTTGTCTTCTGTGTTCTACCTTCTCCTGTCTCACAGCCTAGCTCCACAGTGGCGGAGGTGGACACCGGCACCCAGCCTGGGGGCTGCCTCCAGGCCCACTGCAGCTGTGGGTGGGAGCTAAGAGTGGGCAGGGGTTGAAGGCACCACGGAGGTTCTGCCATGTGCCAGTCTGGTTGTGGATAGTGGGGGTGGCACAGGGCTATGACCAGCAGGGAGCTGGACAGCCACTTCCCCCGCCCGCCCTGCCGTGGGGGCTCAGTTTGGCTGGAGAAGGAGCTCCTGAGGTGCTCAGACGCGCTCTCTGGAGAGGGATCCCTGGAGGTGAGAGCTGGGCTGCGATGAGGACGGGGACAGGCAACCTCCGCAATGGTGAAGGAAGGGGAAGCCTAGGATCCAAGGGTCCACGTCTCCTGACGCCTGGCGAGGGACTCCCCTGCACCCAACTGCGGAGTCCTGCTGGCAAGCCCTCCCACCGGGAGAAAGCATTTGGGAGGAGGCCACGAGGGGCTCAATTTCCAAAGTCAGAGCTCAGTGCTTGGGGCCCACAGCGCCCGCAGCGCCAGCAACAGGACAAATGGGAACCTGTTGCCACCTCCGCACTGCAGGGCTGAGCGCAGCCAACCCCCTAACGCCCCTCTCACCGGCGACCCTAGGCGGGCCGCCCCGACTCA